CCTAAGGACTGATAAATCTAGCAAACAGCATCGACGGAGGAGACAATGTCGTTCCTGCTCTATACATTGGGCAGCAGCTTTTCACTAGGGCAAACGAAACTGGCTACTTCACGTTGACAGCTATTCATCCCGAGGGGTGCCTTCTCCTGGTCAGAGGGGCAGCTCGAATACAATTTAATCTTTCCAACGGTCCTTGGAAAAACCGACCGATGTAGTGACTTCGCTCGCCCGTGACGCCACAGACTGTAGATCACCAAAGCTTAAGGCTAGCAAAGTGATGCCGTCAGCGTAGTTTATGTCAGACCGTGTCCGAATGCAGACTCCACATCTTCAAAACCATGTAGGACCCTTCCTTAATTCGTGTCAATGGCGTAATTGAACAGAATGGGCGCGAGGATGCAACCTTGTTAAACATCTTATCAGATGTCGAATGGTTGGGAGAGATTGTCGTGGACGAGAGTTCAGGCAGTGATAGAGTGATAATAGGCGTTGATATGGGGGTGATTTTGACCGACACACCACCTAGCTCCCCTATTCGCTACAGGGACTCACCGACACGTCAGCTGTAGGATTAATACAACCTGGTCCTAGGTCACTCCTTTAACCCAATTCTGCCGTCCTCTTTTGTTTGCACTATCTCACTCGCGAGCTTATGCACATTTTTAATACAACAACGTCATGCGGTCGGCACGGGACACCAGCTCACCGACAATGTGTGCGCAAGGGTGAGGTTCGCTGGGCTGGATGAACCAGGTGGCCTGAAGTGGCTTACACGTCAGCTTCAAAAGGACTTATTTCAAGACAGGCGTGCACCATACAGTATATCAAAGCAAACAGATAAACGCAAAAGAATCTCCTAGGTGGGAGTGACGGCTTCAACTCCGGAGGACTCGTTGAATGAGGAAACAAACAATACACATGACATCCGTCATTTATCCAACATTCTCTTAACCCGTAGATCTTGGCAATCTAGGCCTCTATTCAGACCTGCAGAAAGGCGAATGAACGGCAGTCTAATTTCGTGCGAACGTGTTGCCTGCAGTGACTAGAGCGAGAACCAGTTCATGGTTCTCCAGGCTGACTCATAAAATCTATCAAATACCATTTGGCAGCCTCAGTCAATGGACAGGGAGGAGCGGAGTTAGGCTTCGCAGAAAGCCTAACCACGCTACCGGAAACATCATACAACATTTTGTCAGCCGCATGCTTTTACGCCCACACAAACGACTGCAGTCATATTATGCTCCGCAGCCTGGCCGGTCATTCAACCACGAATAAGTCGAAATTTGCACCAACTGCAAACTTGCTGCTGGTTCACCGGGTAAATGCACATTCCCCTTACAGCTTGCTCAAACTATTCATTATCTCCCCTGTGCAGTATGTAGCGTCACCCTTCTTATGTGATTGTGTTAGAGGTCGCAGTACACCCAGACTAGCTGCTGTGAAAGTCCCTCCCTCAATCTACTGATTTCTCGCGGATCCTGCAGCCAGACTCAATCAGGTAGTATGGATACAATTTTCTACGACAGAAATTTGTGGGTTATTGTTAGGGTCCTGAGTTTCACGTTTCAGAGGCTGTTGAGGTAAATTTAGTCGGTTAGTATAGGTATCCCTTCATGATGTGCAGTAAGAAAGATGTGCGTTTTAACACCGGTAATGAGCAGAATATGGCAATTGCACTACTCAGCGTCATAATTACGACGGAAAATTAGAAACAAACTAAAGACCGGCACCGTGACTGGGGCCGTCATAAGTAAGTCAGCGATTAACGCATGACCGTCCGCATAGGGGTCGTTAATGTCTGTTATTACAGCAACAGTGTTACATCTCTGAGTGATAATTACTCGGCCACTTGGTTCACTGAGTGCAATTGGGAACAGTGTTCGCCCGCATGACTAATTATTCCGCAGTGACTGTGGTGGTGGTGGTGGCGGCGGCGCACCTAGACTTCGGCCTCGCCCATCAACTCGACGCCAGTTTACCGTAGCCGGCAGGTTAAAGACCACGGACACGCGACTGCTGGAGTATGCACCCTATTCGTCCGACGTTCCGAAATTACACTCAAAACCGGCCTCCGAGACAACCACGGATACGGGTGGTAGACGCACAAGGGGACCAGCATTAATGGGATATAGTTGTTATGCTACCGCGTAAATAACCTAATTAACAGTTCCTGTATTCACCGTACATGGTCGGATTTGGTGCGATTAACGTGTGATGGCCCACACCTGGGCCGTTAATGGCTGCTACTACACCACCAATGTGAGGCCTGAGTGGTCATTACTCGGTTATTCGGCCCACTGGAACCGGTGTTTGTCCACGTGACTAATTACGCCGCATTGAATATGGTGGGGTGGTCACTGGGGCTGATAATAGTCGGACTTGGTGCGATTAACGTCTGATCGCCCGCACTGGGGTAATGTCTGTTACTCGACCATTTGGTTTACTGGTAATGACAGTGGAAGCAGTATTCGTCCACGCGCTCCCCGCGTGAATGGTTACTTCGCACTAAATATAGTGGTGGTGGTGGTGGTGATGGCGGTCACTGCGGTTGTTTATAGACTGGGTCGGAGAAATGTGACTCGAGCAGATCGAGGCCTAGGCAATCCTCACCTATTGCAAGAACTTCTGTCTCCTCGAACTTTATGTGGCCGGGGCCCGTCGAATGAATTGTCGTTTCTCCATATTGTTTCTGCATACGGGCGTATTACTCGGAAGAGGGAGCCATGCAGCCATGTTAGGAATAAGAAACAACTTACACAAACAAAACTATTGATACTGGTTTGGCAGGTATGAATACTATGCGGTTATTCCGTCGAAGTTAGTATTAATCCCGTAAACAGTAACATAGGGAGATGGGCCAGATCTAACAAGTCTCCTTTCCAAAACTCAGCCATAGACCCGGTCAATAATTTTTGAGGAGAATTGAGGGTTCATTGAAAACCGGAAACCACGTGGAGCAACCCAAGAAGGCTAATATACATCACAACCATCAGAGAATTATCGGCCACTTACGTCTGTTGGACGGTAAGGGTCGAAAAAAAATCCGACGGAAAGTGCCTGGACTTGGCACGGAGACCGAGGGATAAGCGCAGCTGGTCAGTCTGAAACAGGCAATCGTCAGCCGGGTCAGGGCATTACTGATCATCAAGTTGCTGACGCTGCCAGACACTAAAATACGCACATGACTCTTGGATAACATCAATTAGGCCGGTGACCGACGGAACAGAAATAAACGGGGTTATACTTCTAATTAGGGGTGCTAAACAGGACATCAACATGACTGATGAAACAGATATTCCACATCCGAAAAATGAGTAGGAAACGGCAATGCCTGGGATGGCATTTTGGTAGTTCACAGATGACGCAGTGCTTCTGACAGTCTCGGCCAAACAAGTAGTAAAAAAGTTTTACTAATGAGAACGGATCGACGTGTTGCCAAACAGGACGGTCAAGCCCGGGGAGGTAAAACAGTCCCCGCGGATAGCATATGCGTGCTAAACTGTGAGAACGGGAAACACTTGATTGCATATACCAATATGAAAGCGGTCCGGATTCAGGTGAACGCGGCGTTCTATCAAGCAACTATAACCGTTGACGTAGCCAGCCATTGCATAACTACTTTCTAAATTGGCTCACATTAACGAGTGACCGCTGTATAGCATATCGGCTGAATTCGTGGACGCTCGGCCGAAAGACAATTTGAAGATAAACAATGTCCCACTGAGATCTACGAAACAGATACTGACAGCGACCTGCTCAGGACTAAAGGAATCTTCAAGCTGGGCCTCTGGTGGCGTATATTTGAAAGAATATTACGTAAATGCAATAGATGTGGTTAGGGATGAAGAAAATGCGGTCGGAAAACGTACAAAGACAAAGGCTGCTCCCGACCTTAAACCAGGGGAGAATGTGAGTTTTAGACGACCGAAAGATCCCATCTGCAAATTCTGCAAAAATGAGGGAAAAACTTAGATGCTGGCGAGACATGGCGTTCGCTGACAACTGCACACTGGATGATGCAACTGAAGTGGACACGCGGTGGAGCTTGGAACCCTTCAAGTCCGGGTGCGCCAACTCACTATTTACCGTGAACGCAAACTGGTTGTCATGGCGCAATCAGCGGGTTCCGACTAGCGAATGCGTCAGGTCTATGGCCACCGCCAAGATTGCCACGCAGCATCAGGCCAATTCCCCTGCCTGAATTCGCTGGATGAAGGGCCGTCAAAATCGACAGTGAAATAAAAGTTCGTGTTCCTGAAAGCAGACAGGGCAGTCTGGAGACATTGACAGCTTACTCAGACCAAACGACGGGGCGAATTTTGAAGTTAACAAAGGAGGCGCGGCAGGAGAATGGGCTAAGATGCAGCTAGCATAGCGATAGCATGAACGTGCTACGAACTAGCACAAAAATTGATAGAAGTTGCAGTTGGAGTCAGCAACATGGCAGTGAAGCAGGTCAGATTGTTGACAAACACTAGTGTAAGAGACCGTGTCCCGCTATGGATAATCGATACCGGCGTCCAGAGAACTCTGGCGTCTGTCATTAAAACGCCACCGCGGCTTGCCCCTATACCGTGCGCCCTAGAAAATGCATATGCAGTACAGAAAATCGCGCACGTCAGTAATGCATACTGACTCAAGGGCGATTATGCGCCCCTCATTAAGTTTTGTCTGTTTGATGGCAGCTAACTAAGGCAGTCGACCACAAAATAAATTACTATCGTCAAATGCGGGAATGTGCGTCATCACTTCATTAATACATTGCCCGGCAACATGGCATTAGCCTTCGTTTGGTCCTGCACTAACAATTTTATACTAGCGGGCTTGTGCGCGGCTAGAGACCTGCTGGCCGGATTGTGCCTGCAGGGACTACTGACAAACCTTAAGCCACCCTACGGACGAGTGTATGTTATCAGACTTGCTATCAAGGTCTGTGCGTACTAGTCAGAGGGAACGCAAACATCTTAATATGCAGGAGAGACACTGGCCAAAAGGTTATGGAATTCGGATCATGTTACCTGGGCGAAGGAGGCAGTGTAATGTCAGACGACATTTTGGACCGACCCGTCAAGGCGATAGAGAAGTTGTCTTCAAATGGGGACCAACTTCCAAAGCCAGAAAAACTGACGATGTATGACGATTACGATCTCTGGGAGGATCGAATGAAGTTGTACCTTGAGTCCGTCAGCGAAGGGAACCGGTCACTGGCCATCCTTGGCCAAGTGGACAGTGAGGTCTACGCCGTTGCCAGAGCGGCCAACATCACTCCTTCGCTGACTACCGCGACAATCTTCGAGCGTCTTCGGCGAGAGTTCGGTCGCTCTTCCATGCCATGGGTTGCTCGCGCAACACTGAGGGAACGCCGCCAGCATTCTGGAGAGTCCGTGGTCGACTTCCAGCGACACTTACGTGTCCTGGCCAAGCAGGCATACCCAGACGACTCTTTCGCTGCCCTGGAAGACGGGATTCTCCATAACTTCGTCGATGGTGTTGCCAACCCAGACATTCGACGCAAGTTCATACTGGATCCACCCAAAACCCTCAAAGTGGCACTCGACATCGCCCGCGATGAAGAAGTGGTCTCCGCCGCGCTATCCTCAACCCTTGGGCCGGAGGACTCCTTCTGGACGCCACCGCCGCTCCTGCATCGTCTCCGCCGCCCGGCTCAAACGAGGCTTGCACCCAAACAAGCCTGTCCTCGCCATAGGAGATCCCGCTGTTTCCGAACTCTCAATATCGTCTTCTGTCGTTTACAAATAATTCCCCCCTTAGGAGTCCGTCTTTCTTTCTTACTGGGGACCAGAAGGGGCATAGCATAGCGTTATTAGCTGCCATCTCGGCTAGGGTCGTTACAGTAACAGTCGGAGATCTGACCAGGGACCCAAACTTGAGTGTTTGAATGCACTGGACTCTTCTTTCGTTTTGCATTGCAGGGTCTACGCCCCGGAAGCCGTGTGCCGACAAATAACTGCTAACCCCACTCGATAAGTCGTTCTGTTGTATTCTTTTGTTCTTCCGTAGTCTCGTTTACTAGATTTCCGTTTTTGTATATCCGAATAAACCTATATCATTTTATCAACTTTGTTGTCTATATTATGTCCCGTACGCCTGCAGGCGTACACTCTGAAGTACAGGGCCTTTTAGACCGAATTTTCCAATCGACTGGATTGTCTGAGTTCAAGCTTCCCTCATCCCTTTCCTTCACTACCCGTGACCTGACGTCCGCTACTCGCTCGGTCGCTACACTGACCTAAGTTATGTCGTTCCCGCAAACCAACGAACTACGGCTTACTAACCTCATAAACGGAGAAAGGTAAGGACGGCCAGCAAGTGAATAAAGTTAATATTCAAAATGTGCAACGACCTGACCAGAGAGCATGGAAGCGGCGCGAAGCTTACAAGCGGCGTAGTCTTCGTCACGTTAAAACAAATGCTACAGTAAGACAAACGTGACAAGATCGTCAAAGGTCAAGTAGTCAAGTACTTCAGCACAGTATCCCCCTCCGAGACCGGAGGGGGGCGTGAACGACGCCGGAGGACATACAAAGGTCTAGGAGAAATGAGTAACTAGACGATCGGGAAAGTGAACGTGACGTCCACTGCGGGTGATATATGCGGGAGGCACAGTTGGAGGCAGCTGAGTAGGTGTTGTAGTGGACAAGTTAAGGGTGGAGGAAGAGGTATCAGTTTGATGCTGCAAACAAGAAGGAAGAGGAAGTATACGGGACGGAGGGATAGGTGGGGAAAGTGGAAAAGGAGTGGGAGGAGGTATGGGGTCAGCACATGCTTGTCCTTGAGACACGTACGGGGACTCTTCTGCAACAGCAGCCTTGACCCGGTCGATGCTGACTACGTCCTCTTTGTCACCTCGCAGGATCCGAAAGGTCTTGCTGTTACGTGCAAGCACACGGAACGGTCCTTCATATGGTGATTCTAACGGCTTCCGAACACGATCACACCGAACGAACACATGGGTGCAGTTGGCTACGCCTTTTTCAACATAAGGCTCGGTCGATGGAGCTCGAGGTGGAACTGAGGAAAGCGAACGCATGAATTGTCGCAGATTATGCACAAAATTTTCGGGGGTCTCTTCGGCACCACGAGAGGTTGGGGTGACCATCTCACCAGGGCGTCGGAGGGTAGTGCCGAAAACCATTTCGGCTGCGCTGCTGTCCAAGTCTGACTCCAGTGCCGCACGAATGCCAAGAAGTGCAACGGGTACATTGTCTGACCAGTTTTCGGGGTCTTCTGCGGCACGCAGTGCAGTTTTTAGCTGGCGGTGGAAACGCTCAACCATGCCGTTGACAGCTGGGTGGTAGGCCGTCGTCCGAATACGTGTGCAGCCCAGGAAGTTAAGGAGAGTTTGGAAAAGTGTGGACTCAAACTGCGCGCCTCGATCAGTCGTAATCATGGATGGCGCACCGAATATGGCGACCCAACGACTGACGAAGGCTTTCACGATGGTCTCAGCTTGCACATTCGCTAAAGGAATGGCTTCCGGCCAACGGGTATAGCGATCAACGCAGGTGAGAAGGTGAGTATAGCCATTGGATGGAGGTAAAGGACCTACGACATATAAATGCACATGGTTGAACCGTGCATCGGGGCTGGGGAACGTGCCCGATGGAGACTTGTTGTGGCGTTGAACCTTGTTACGCTGACAGCAAAGGCACGATCGTGTCCAAGCTTTCACATCCTTGTTCAACCCAGGCCATACGAACCTTTCCGCGAGGAGCTTCTATGAGACTAAAATCCCAGGATGGGAGAGTCCATGGAGAGTTTGAAAAACAGCTCGACGCATCGAGGCAGGCACATAAGGGCGATGAAAAGGAGTCGATACGTCACAAAGGATTGTTCCAGTGCCGGTGGTCAATGGGACGTCAACTAATTGAAGACTGTCAACAGACTCGTCGCCAGGGCATCCAACACGTCGTTGTTCAGCCGCCATAGCACCAAGCTAAATCCCGTGTGAGAGGTGAAACGCCGAGGGGGAAGGTCTGGACAGCATGTCGGCCACCGCATTCTTCGGGCCATTAATGTGGCGGATGTCGGTGGTGAATTGCGAGATGTAATCCAAATGAAGAATCTCTCTCGGGTTATATTTGTCAAAATGGGATCGGATGGCAAATGAAAGTGGCTTGTGGTCTGTGAAAATTGTGAAGTCATGACCCTCAAGGAAGTGTCGGAAATGTTTTACGGCTAGGTAAATGGCAAGAAGTTCACGGCCAAACGTGCTATATCTTGTCTCGGCAGGTGAAAGCTTTTTGGAGAAGAATGCCAACGTTCGTGTCGAGTCGTTGATATGCTGTTGGAGGACTGCTCCTACGGCAACGGTCGAAGCATCAACCATCAGGGACAATGGGGCTTCTGGAGCAGGATGAGTGAGCAAGGTAGCACCAGCAAGGGAGGTCTTTATTCTCTCAAAAGCAGTCAGCGCTTGGCCACGTAACTCAAGTTGGTGAGTGGCAGCATAAGGTCGGCACAGTTCGGTAGGAACCGGCGATCAAAGTTTACCATGCCAAGGAAACGTTGCAACTGACGCCTGGAGGTTGTTGGAGGAAAGTCACGAATGGCCTCAACCTTGGAAGAGAGGGGACACAAACCTTGTGCATCGACATGGTGACCAAGAAAATCAAGGGACGGCACACCCAGAACAAACTTCAAAGGGTTACTGACCACGCCAAACTGATCGAGGCGGTCAAACACTAAGGCAAGATGCTCGGCATTTCGCCTGGCCACCAAGAGGTCATCGATGTAGGCGTACACAAACGGGAGACCACGTAGGACTCGGTCAATGAACCTCTGAAATGTTTGGGCAGCATTGCGAAGACCAAATGGCATGCGAATAAATTCTAGCAGGCCGAATGGTGTGGTGACGGCAGTTTTGGGAACATCCTCAGGAGCGACAGGAATCTGATGGAAGGCCCGAACAAGGTCAATCTTCGAGCAAACCGATTTGCCGAAAAGAGCTCCAGCAAAATCTTGAAGATGAGGGACGGGATAACGATCCGGGATGGTCGCATTGTTGAGGGCACGATAGTCACCACAGGGCCGCCAGTCGTCTGATGTCGCCTTGGGCACCATATGCAGAGGGGACGCCCATGGACTCTCGGATGGGCGAATTATGCCCAGTTGCAGCATGTGCTCAAATTCGGCCTTCGCCGCTTGCAGACGGGACGGAGCCAGTCCTCTAGGCCGTGCGAATACTGGGGGTCCAGAGGTGCGAATGTGGTAGACAACGTCATGCTGGATCTCACCACTGCGAAACTGGGGTTTGATTATGTTGGGGTGTTGGAGGAGCAGGTCTCGGTAAGGGCAAGCAATACCTGTGTCCAGAACAGATAAATTGCAGGAGTCATTAAAGGGTGTAAGACAGCGGACAGAAAGGCCAGTTGTGCGGTCGAGGAGACAGGAACGCCGACAGTCAATAAGGAGATCAAATTCGGCTAGGAAGTCGGAACCAAGGATCACATGAGGCACATCGGCAATCCCAAATATCCAGGAGAATGATCGACATAAACCAATGTTTAGCGTTAGGGAACGACTGCCAAAAGTGGAAATGGGGGAACAGTTTGCAGCTTGGAGATGTAGACCAGGGCTGGGACAGCGGCGGTCAACTGGAGTGGGGGGAACCACGCTGATCTGGGCACCGGTGTTCACTAGGAAACGCCTGCCCCGTGTCCCAATAACCATGAGGCGCCGATCCCGCTATGAGTGTGACGTAGTAACGATGAGTTTTAATAGGCCTTTAGTCACTAACAAGCCAAGTGAAGTTATCATATTTTCAAGGGAGACCAGTCTACCTTGTCTTTATCGGTAATACCATACTGTCTATATTATGCGCCGCTGTGCAGCTGCTGGTTGAGCTCGAAGGAGAGCCCCTAAGGCATAACGGAACCAGTGAGTTCCGTAAGAACGATCGGTGAGCGCCCCCGACCATTGTAGTTCATGTCTTTTGGTCCGCCAACCTTCCTGGTCGCATATTTTTTAGAATCAGTTACTTGCAGAACGCTCCACCATCAAATATCTAGATTTGATTCACACGAATAAGCTTAATTTAGCACCTCGTGCTGACTGAATCTCTGCTACAGCCGCGCAAATGTGCGGATCAATATTACATGTTTTCCTCCATCCGAAAATGAAGCTGGGAGTTTATGAAGCGTGTTGTTCTCCCCGAACTCAGACATTGCTCTCCTTTTGGCAAGTGTCTGAAGAGTTTTTACTTAGAACTCTCCTCTCCAGTTGGATCCTGAACCCCTTGTAATTAGAGGTGTCAACTGACGAACACAAATAATAATTTTTAATAATAATAACAATTTTATTCAAGGCCCGTGGGAATCCCTTCATTGCAAGTAAGAATCACGTTTGCATTAATTTTAGAATTTTAGAAGAGATATACAGAAGTTATACAATACTTGACTCATAGTTAATAAATAAGTAGTATGATTCGAGGAATGTTAAGCGAGCCGTCTAAAAAACTCCTAACATAAACAAAATCAGTATGTCTGGATTTACACTATAAGAGAAAAAAACTGAAGCTCGTTAATATATAAAAAGCAGGCTGGTCCAGTCTGTATGTGGCAGTGTATAACGGATTTCATGAATGGGTAAGTAGGCGGGTCAGGCAGGATTGGCCCTTATGTGGTCTTGAGTAAATGGTTCGAAACGTGCATCATCAAGGCAGAATTAATATGCCGGATTAAGCCATTCATGTCTAAGTGGCGAATAGAAAACCGGTCTCGAGGTGATATGGACCAAAATGCGTTTGGTAACAGTCGGATTCGAGTCTAACCGAGGATGGGGCAAGGGAGGTGCAATCAGACTACTGGTATATGACGAATACAGAAGGTTTCACCAAGAGCGTCGATGGAACGCATTCTGTGAGGGCACGATGCATGAACTGAAAAATTGGAAAAATTAACATTTCTGATGAGGGATCCTAGGAAGCGATACTACACACAAAAGAAGGAAACGTGAGCGCGCACGTTAATTTACTGGCGGCATCCTACATTCCCGTTGTTCCTTTCTCGGTATCATAGAGAAAGTTATCCGGGAAGGATGAGGAAAATAAAAGTTTAATCGCGTCAGTATTCTAATAAAGGCGCAGCCTTCTCTTAAATGTGTGTAGATTATCTGAAGATCTGATATTTATTGGAAGGCTATTCCAGAGGAAAGTTTATCTAGAAGCGAAAAAGAGAGAGCGCTCAGAGGTGGGGGAAACAGGAGGAGGTATAATCAAGGACGAGTTGCGAAGATTGTATGGGCGACTACTAGGGGTAAGTGCTGAAATGCGATGAAGATTTGAACTATTATTAATGTGAAAGACTAGACAGAAATCTACTTCTAGTCTTCAAGCCCATAAAAATTGTAGGTTGGTTAGCTGGTATCTATCTGAGTAGGAGATATTTGGATGTTCTATGCCTAAAAGTTTTCAAGTAAAACGTCTTTGAACATTTCCCATGTTTGAATGACTAGCCTCGTTCATCAAACCAAAGAATGGGCAACAATACTCGAGAATGGGAAGTACAAACATACGATAGAGTCTTAATTTAATTTCGGGAATATATAACCTGTAACAAATAAAGCCACAAATCTGGGTAGCTTTAGCTGTAATTCTATGGGCGTGTGGCGCGAGATCAAAATTATTAGTGTAGCTTAAACCTAAATCCTTGATAGCGGTACATTCAGTCATAGGCGTACCTTGAAAGACCACTGGTCGGGGTAGGCTATCAGGTTCAAAACACATATAGCGACATTTAGACGGAGAGAATCCCATTAGCAATTTTGAGCTCCTGACTAAAGGAGTAAGCAAGTCAGCATGGAATTTTTCCAGGCAGTGAAGGCTCGTAGATTTATTGGATGAATACACACATCTGAGATCATCGGCATAAATAAATGATTGAGAATGATTAATTGCCGCCGAGATATCATTTATGTAAAGCAGGAACAAAAATAGGACCGAAAACAGTACCTTGTGGAACACCACTTACAATAGGGCTTTCATAGGAAAGTGAAGATCCCACTAAAACCGTTTGTTTACGATTAGATCAGATCAGATCAGATCAGATTTATTAAGGGAAAAGTAGGCGAGCGCCTTTGAACTCCCTTTTGGTTACAATAACAGGTATCACTTGATAAAGTCTATTAGTGGTCTGCAAATTCCCATAGCTTCTAATTTAACTAAGAGTCTTTTATGTGGCACTTTGTTAAAGGCTTTACTAAGATCAAAATAAATAACGACAACAGATAGATGGTCATTACGAATAGAGGTAAGTAGATTGAGAAACTTCAAATGACATGTTTCACAAGAGCGATCTGGTAAAAAAAAACCATGCTGGGAAGAGCTTGTCGTGGTTAAGCGGTGAGAGTGTGTGCATTCTGAGCACTACAACCACCTGGTCGAATCCCAGTGTTGAAAGGGAGAGACAAAAGGCACCAGTATGAGGGATTTATTGTGCACAGAACCCGGAGTTGTCCTCTCAGGCGACAGTGGCCACTGGCGAAGCCAGGGCTGATGTTGACTGCGTCCAGTCAGGCCTGAGAGTCCCTGAGATAATGGTGGCAGCCGCTTTTGTAGGCTTGTAGGCCAAGCTCAAGTGGTGGCCAGTCAGCGTGCGTGTTGCATTTGTCGAGGGGTGGTGTCCCAGTGGCTTGTTTTGCTGGTTGCAGGGGGTGGCGCGTTCAAGTGGCCGCATGGGCAGCTGCGACTGCGCGGACGCAGGTATGCCCGAGCTGTTGGTTGTGTGACTTCAGGTCAGCTCGTCTGGGACGGCTCGCTGCAAGGGGTGAATGACCTTGAGACAGCGAGGTCTTGAACAATGACGCCAGACCAGTCAGGATGGCTAGTCGCCACAAGCTAATAACTCGATTTGCCATGCAAAAGTCGGCGCTTTTTATATCGATAGTTTCCAAAGGTTCAAGCGAGAGAAGGCGTTTTAGGGACACCTCGATAGTTCTGATCGGCAGAACGACAGCCATACTTAAATACAGGAATAATAATAGAAGTATTCCAATAGTCAGGAAAGAAGCCATTTACAAGGAATACTGAAAAGAGTTTGCTAAGCAGAGGAGGAAAATCTCGCAGTTGTTTTATAAGAGAGTTTGGGATATTGTCTGCGCCTACTGAGTTAGAGTAAGGAAGATGGTTTATCAGTTTTTGAATAGTTTCATGAGAAAAATTAATGATGATGAGAGATGCATCAGACAACGGAGAAATTAAAGAATCGGGTCAGTTTCTATGGTGAGATGTTTGGCAAATAAAGAATTTAACATTTCCGCTTTGCCTGAATCCTCTGTAATGAAGGTATCGTTGGTACTAAGCAAAGGTGGAATGATTTGGTGGGACTTAGCTGATGATCTTTGATTGAAGACCTGAGCAACTGATTTAGAAGCACTCACGTCAATAATAGCTAAAGACTCCCTACACCTGTCTCGCGCGAGCCTCATTTTCGAAGCAAGTTCGAATATTTCAACGATTCTTAGAGGAACTGATAATGAGCTCACGGAAGGATCTTTAAGCTGCTTCTGTAGCTTTTTTAAGTCTGTTTTTCAGAAAGTGTGGGACAGCGGTGGAAGTGGCACTCGATTTGAACGTCTTCCGTGGAATTAGGCAATTGTAATGAATTGTTAAATAAACTTTAATCATTATTTGAAAACAATTGTGCCAATCAAGAGTGCTTGTAAAGTAATAAACTGATTCCTAGTTAATATTAGCAAAGTCAAAAATACTACGTTGTACTGTTGGCTTTGCGGAAATGGCAACTGGAAGGCGACAATGAATTAATGCATGATCACTTGCGAAAAGGTCATGATGGAAATACATAGATAGAGGCAAGGGGCCATTAGTGAAAAGTAAGTGTAATACACTATCATTTCTGGTCGAAGAGTGGACTAATTTAGACATGTTTGAAAAGCAGACGGTGTAAAGAAGCCTCTGGAATTTAGGAGAGGAAGTATGTAGGTGCAAGTAACTTTCTGGCAAATTAAAATCGCCTACTATAAACGTGACATCGAAAGGAGTCTCTGCAAGTTTTTCAAAGGGTTCAGGGAGTTGGCTTTCATTCCCGGAGTAACAAGGAGGATCATATGCACATCCGACTAAGGCTTTCCTATTTTGCGGAAGTATCATCGAAGCGAAACATAAATTTCCAGATAAGGACGAAATGTTCAGGTCATAAGGCGACTGGGCAAGTATGGTTATGATGTAAAGAAGGAAACCACCGCCGCGCCTTTCGGCACGATCCTGGCGGTATAAACTGAGGCTATCTACATAGAGTGACGAGTCTGAAATTAGGGAGTGAGCCCACAATTCTGTAATGTACAATACATCTGGGTCAAATTCTACAGCCACACTTCTTAGTTGTGCCATCTTTTGCACGACTGATCTTGCGTTGAGAGAGACAATACTGGGCGTATTCCTAATATATTGGTTCTGCTCATTGCTACTTATAAAAAAGGGAGAACTTGTGGTGGAAAATGAGGCTGTTGGGACAAAGCAATCGGTGGAAGACAAAGTTGCTGTGGTCTTAAATTTGTGGGGTAATTACCACTAACTAGAGATGCAGCATTGTATGGGAAAATATTTGAGGAGAACCCTGGACGAGGTTGGAAAATTAGAAGGCATGAAAATAGGATTTTGTGAATCGTTAGCGTAATCTGAGGGGTTGTTTATGTTAGTTGGCGGAAGTAAAGGTTTTGAGAAACAGTTTACTTGGATTTTGCAGGCTGGTGTGCAAGTGGCCTTCACAACAGAGGTGTTTACATTAAGTTGAGAAGTCGGAATAAGATCAGGTAAAGATCTCCCTGAACTATCATCTGGCTTATTTGACCTATCCGCAAGGTCAGACCTGAGTGGCCAGGCGCGGGAACGGGATGGATTCGATCTAGGTTGAGTAACTAGTTTATTATTCTGAGTGCTAGGGGTCGGTTGTGTTTCTAGGATTGGCTTATCTTTACTGTTGAGATCAAGCTCCTTCAAAAATTTGGGAGCCGCATTTGAACAGTCCTTGTTTCGTGGGGGGATCAGATGAAGAGCTAGATGGAACTGGGGCCACTGCAGATAATCGGGAGGTTTGGTTGACGCCCAATGGAGGAACTGCTTTAGGGGCAAACGGCAGATGAGTTGAATTCTGGGGTAGCTTTACGTTTGTTAATGGGGGTGAAACTCTTCTTTGCAGAGGCGTTTTATCTCGACTAATAAAAAGTTTATTTCCCGAGATATTGCGCTGAGCGCTCTAATTGGCAGAAAATAAAGTCCACTCCTATCAACGAAAATAGTTTGACAAGAATTGGTGAATTTTTGCTCCTAGATGCAAGTCTTTTAGCTTCAGCGACTCTAAAGTTGAAGCCGCATGAGTAAAGAAAGTGGAAAGCGACATCCATTGGCTGTCTAATCTTAGGAACGTTTTTTTAAAAAAAAGTTAAAACTTCGTTTGTGCCTGTCTTTTGTCTCATTAGCAACCAGGTCAATGAGAGGCATGAGCTTCTCACACTGCTGAGACGTAAGTGTTTGCAACTTTCCTCCCAGAAGGGCACCAAGAACAGAAAAAATTGATCCGTAACGCGATATAAAATTGTTAAAATTATTGAGTGCCCGTTGGTCTATTTTCTTCATATGTACAATGGGTTTTAATTGGAGTTTAGTATCCTTCAGATTTCGACGAAGGGTTGTCTGAGGTTTCATGTCGAAAAAGCAAAACAAGACTTTAGTCCAAAAGTTTATAGTGATGATAACTGGCGAAACTTCAAGGAGCTATGAATGAGGCTGTGTATGATGAAACAATTTCAGAAAGCTATCAATATTGGTGGGCCAGACAGCACAATAACGGAATGCAAACTTCAAAAAACGGGTAAATGACAATAATGTAGGTGGCAAAACAAAACCGAAAATAAATTTGAATAGGATAATGAGGCTACGTAGGATAAGATAGACAACAATATAGTTCTCTTACTAGTCAACAAACCAACGATAAATGCGATCAGTGGAGACGGTTGATCGTTTAAAATATAATGCTTTTCAAAGTTTTACGAGGAAAACCTTTTATATAAGCGGGTGAAACTTAATATGATTGAGGCTATGTTAGGTAAAAAACTATGATACCATATTTCCACTTTATGATAAATCGACAAAACACGACGGGAAGCTAAGTACGTGCCAGAGGAAGAAATAAAAAGACCTCACGGTGACTGTTACGTCGCGGGTGGACATGGTGTCTTAAAGAGGTGAGTGGGTTAATGTGTGATTATATAAAAGTTTAAATAATAAAAATAGTCCCTTTTGTAATCTACGGAACCATAAAGGATCAAGGCCTGTAAGCCGGCAACGTTCTTGGTAAGACAAATGTCGGTGTTCCGCGGCTAAAATTCTCTTGGTAAAAAAGTGTTGAACGGATTCTATTTTCTTCCGCTCAGTAGCATGCATGAGGCTAAATAAAAACGAGCAGTATTCCAGGCCAGGTCTAACGTACATGTTGAAAAGGCGCATTATAATGTCCCTAGTTTTTAAAGTTTCGGAGGATAAACCCGGTCGTTCTACGTGCTTTGGAGACTATCAAGGTACAGTACTCCGAGAGATTGAGACTTTTGGAGTATGATACGCCCAGATCCTTAATAACCCCAGGCACATTTATGGCGTGACCTTCAATGCTTAGTTGAGGTTGGCGGTCGTCGCCAACTGTGAAAGTTCGACCTTCGATTTCCATGATGTTCGCCGTGTGCCCCACATTAGCAGCTGTGGGAGCAGGGACGGCGACTTGCGCAGGGGTTTATAGTGTCAGTAGACTTGCGCTGCATCTACCTGCACTATCTCCTCCTCCCTCGCCCGAGCCCGGTGTCAAGACAGAGTCCAGAAGACCGGAGACGAGAGAGGCCGCAGGTGGATGGCTCGGACGGATCCTCACCCTGGCGTTCCACCACACCCCCTGGTCCACACAACAATAACCAGGATTTCAACCAACACAACAGAGATTTGGAGGCTGGCACGGCCGAAACCGCACCTGGGCGTGCCGCCAACGCCGGGCTCGGATCCCACACTGTGGTGAGAGTGCCATAAAGGCCACATTAAAAAGGAGCCATTGCAGCCTGACTCTCAGACCGCCTCCAGTTAAGGAGGAGGACCAAGTTACCCCGTCAGTTGGCAACCTTCCAAGCCACGGCTTTTAGCGCTTCGTGATAGCTTCAAGCGCGTCAGATTGATTATAGTGAGGAAAGTGCGCTGAGTCGTCGACCTCACTCTCCCTTCCCATTCCCACACCCCAGCCGCCGTTCGAGCCGGTCGGCAAACTGGAGTGGGGAACGGGCGCGGTGGCTGCCACGGTCGACTGACCATGCCTGCGCGCGCCACAGCACGACCTGGCCCCCCATACACACACAAACACCAGGATTTCACACAACGGGGGTTGAACGGCGTGTCTCTCAATTGCGTGAGAGGGCCGTGGAAGGTGCTGCTTCAGCCCGTTCCCAACCCACCAGTCCGCCACTCCGCACAACACACACACACAACGCGACGAACTGCGTGAACCGAGAGCGGGCATCAATCAGCAACCTTCCAATCCACGACACTTGAAGTGTCGGGATAGTCTCGGACTCAAATCACCCGTGCAGCCGAAGCCGCGTGGGGACCGAGTCGAGATGCACACTCCCCACTTGCGTGGAAGGTGGCAGTTGGTGCATGCGGTGGGTGAGTGTTGATGTGTGTTGGTGATGGTGGAGGAGGGTAGGGAGTGTGTAGATGTGTGGTGTAACCGGCGGTTGTCTACCGCAGGTCGTCGTGGATGCGCATGTGGCCGAATAGGCCCATATGGTGCCTGAAAGTGCGAGGAAAATGTGGGCAGTTGAGACGAGCTTGGTGGGTGTAGTTTGGTGCTCCAGACACTGGTTCTCCGATCTCTGTGCGATGGATTCGCAAGTGACCGACCAGGCCGATGCGTGAGGTGAAGGTGCGATCGCAGTGAGGGCAGGTGTAGTCCTGATTCTCATTGCTGGAGTCGGGAGAGGCGGGGGTGGTGCCGGTTGTTGCGTCGCGGATGGTGATGTGCGAGACGGCTGCCTGAACGGCCGCCGTTGGGACAGTGGTGGTGGTGGAGGAGGAGGAGGAGGAGGAGGAGGATGGAAGCGGTGGATCAGAAGAATTGTCGCCAACTACCATAACTGAGAACTTATGAAAAGAAAGAGAAAGGCGCCATGTGCGGCACCACTGGGCGAAAGCCTGTAGATCGCTCTTTAAGAGCTCTAGCACTATGTCACGATCTGCCGGCTTATATCGATATGCAACTTTAAGATCATCGGCATACATGAAAGGCTTACCATTCTGAAATAAATCCGGTACATCTTTAACGAAAAGACAAAATAAAAGCGGGCCGTGTAGACTACCCTGAATGGCTCCACTCCTCACACGTGTGGGCTTGGAGATATTATTGGAAATCTTAACTCGTTGTGTACGAGTGCCCAGGTTAGAGGATATAAAATTCAAACGGTTTTCACCTATTCCGAAAGAGGACAGTTTCAAGAGAAGAAGTGCATGATCAACACGATCAAAGGCCCTGGTGAAATCGAAATACACTGTGTTAAGTGCAAAACCATTGTCCCTAGATTGGAGAACATAATCGAAGAAAGCGATTTGACAGGTGTCACAAGATCGAGCTTTGAGAAATCCATGCTGAGGAGCATCCAGTAAGTTATTCACTGTTAATTGACACATCATCTTATCCTTGATCAATGTCTCTAAGATATTCGAAACTGCGGGGAGGGTGTTTATTGGCCGAAAGTCATCAAATGATGTAGATTTGCCGTGCTTAGGAATGGGCAAAATGTGTGATTCCTTCGACAATGTAGGATAAGTTTCACTTTCAAGAGCGAGACTAAATATCTTGCATAAGAGTGATGGGAAGATCGTGTTTGCATCGGCTTTTAAAATGCTTACTGGGACACCATCAGGTCCTGGACTATAAGATTGACGAAAACGCCAAATCGCAACAGTCACATCCCACAGAGTGAAAGTTATAGTTTCTAGAACTGTCCCGGTCAATGGCAGGATGGTCGGAAGCGGAGTGGTCGAGTCTTCAATGAACGTTTTGGACAGGAAATCATTGAAGCTATCAGCGGTTAACTGTGCATCAACTATGGGATATCCGAGGGCGTTTCGGAGGATGGGATACTGCGTCCTTCTGTGAGTTCGTATTTCTCTAGAGGAAAGTTCCGAGACATTTAACGAGTGGTTTTCGGTAAACTGGACCTCCTCGGCTAGCTGTTTTCCTTCAGACAATATCTTAGCCCCCTGAGAAATATCACAAATCAAGGACAGGACAGAAACGTCCTTCTGAAGATGGAATCGAAGACAAAGTCTGCGCAATCCGCGACGAAAGTGTAAGGGTAGGATAACCTCATCCCCAACATTAATAATTTCCCTACGGGGGACAAAACGAGAAATAAGCGGATAAAAAAGTACGTACAATTTTTCAGTGCAAACATTTACATCCGAACTAAGGAAGAACTCAATCCAGTCGTAGAAATTAAGGTGTGTTAATAATCGGTTTGAGCGGGTTGATCGGAAATCGCGGAAAAACTTACACCTTGGGGACAACGTTTTGTCAGCCTCGAGTTCCAACGTTGAAACAACTATGTCATGGTCTGAGCCCCCGAGTGAGCCTAGGGATGACATTGACGATGGCATGCAGCCTCTACTGAAAATCAGGTCAAGTATGCTTGATCCTCGGGTGGGAAAATCGACAACCTGAGTCCACATCCCAACATCCACTGCCTCATGCATGTCTTCGAACCTTCTGGGGCCTGAAGACGGAGACCAGCGGACTTCAGGGAGATAAAAGTCACCCGCAACCAATTGCTACTTAAAGCTTGAGTCGGTCGCAGCATGAAATGCCTGTGAGAGTAAACGATCAAAATTGTCGTTGGCGTTGGGAGAGCGATAGACACAGCCAACGAGTAAGGCGAACTTATTTTTTAGTGCAACTTTTAGCCAGCAGCTGCCTTCTACTGCGGAAAATTGCAGGAGGTCAAGCGGCTGTCTTGGCGATCATTTCGAATGCAATCATAGCCTAGAAGAGAGAGTTCGGAGTCAGCTACGGAGGCTGACGCCCATGTCTCAGTTACTAAAACAATATCTGGACCATGGAAGAACACCAGAGTCTGAAGCAAAGGCATCTTATTAAACAAGGATCTGGCATTTAAAACAAAAAGTTTGAGGGGAAAGGCTGTTTGTTTCTGAGACAGGTGGGCTACGTCGTCCAGTGCTCGTCTGACCACGGAAAAAACGGTCAAGAGCGATGCAAAGTCACGGCCTTTGGCGAAACGACGACGCAAACATGCCTGGTGCAGGAGCCCAAGCCAGCCGGGTTGTGCTAACTTAGCTAACCAATTAGCGTGTGCTGCGTCATCGAGCACGCCTGGTGCTGTTGCTCAAACAAGCGGCGGATCGAATATTCGATAGTCTACCGCATGGGCTTCTCGCACAAAAACCGGCCAATCAACGAACGCCACGCGACAGGACGGAAATTTTGTGAAATGGCGTCGCGATATGACACGCAGTATGTCGGAGTACTCCAGAACGCTCAGGAGGCCAAATAAATAAGGCGAGTTTGGATAAGAGAAAAGTCCCGTGCTCGTAGGCTATTAATAAAGTGTTTGTTTTTCAAACTGGCTTACTTTCTATTCCATCTAACTGTCAGGTCATAACAGCGACAGAAGCACATGTGTAGCTGAGCCTGAATCTATCCGCCGGCAAGCGTGCACACTTCGGGCTGACCAACAATTCGGATAAAAGGGTGGCCATGCATCAGGCCTTGACCAACACTGGATACAACGACGCTTGCATCACTGCCAATGGCATCCAAATAAAACCGGTGGACAGATTCGTCAGCCTAGGCAGTGCACCCTCATGCAGAACCAAACTCAACTTTGGAGTTGCTCACCGATGTAGAATGCCAAACAGGCCCTCGACCTGTTGTAAGCCCAACACCAACCTATCTCAAAAACAAGCTCCAGATGCACAAAACCATCATCTTTAGAAAGCTACTCTACAGGGCAGAGACATGGATCACCTAGGCCAATCAAACCACGATGCTCAATTACTTAAACATCAGATATCTCCGGCGAAAACTGAAGCCCAGTTTGCAGGACAGAAACCAAGACAAAAAGTCTTAGAGCGAACAGGAATCCTAAGTAACTACGCCATGCTGACGCAACTGCTGTTGCCTTGGAGCGGCCACCACGCGAGGGCAGATGTAACTGCGGGTGCCAGCCGACAGGCCTCCATTAAGGATGTACAAATAAATTCTCCGACTTGGGTGGACCTCGCTCTAGGCCGACCGACCTGACAAAGAGCAGAGAAGACTAGAACGGCAGTCTACGCGGCCAATCGGATTGCCGCCCACAAAGCCAAAAGAGCGGCTTGCATGTAGCAAAGGCCTCTGATCCACAACCATCACACCCAACCTCTTCCAACATGTCTACCTCGTCAAGGAACATTCCGTGCGCGGGTCAGCCTTGTCGGGGATCTCCGGACCCAATGAAACAACAACCCAACAATTTGACCGGCGGCCTCCGCAAACGCCTCCATAATCATTCTTGCACCAAACCACACCGTGCCCACGAAGGTAACCATCACCAACCACCATCGTGATTCTCAAATGCGTCAGATCGTCTATAGTGAGGAACTTGGCGCAGAGGGTCAACTACTCACACTCTAACCTAGTCCCTGCACAACTCAACTGTCCGAGCCGGTCAACGAGCAGATGCTGGGATTAAGCCCATGCGATGAATGCATGCGCATGGACGGTGCGGAAGCTGAAGGCGGACACGACGTGTATGCGGGGCTACCGAAACTAGCGAGCCGGTCGCAGTGCGACGGATTCATAAGTTGACTACCAGGCCGATGAGTGAGGTGTGAGTACGACCATAATATGGACAGGTTTAGGCAGGTCGATAAACGACGACTCTTACTACAGGACTATCCGCGGCCAACCATAAACTGCATTTCCTGATTTTACTCCCTATGTAACGCATCCCTGAACATGTAATGAAGTGTTCTCCCGCAAACTACGCAAATGACTGCATTTTATGCTGATTGTATATAACTGCACTTAAAACTTCATGTGTACACGGAAAGCCGCCTGCCACACCCTCCGCCGTTCCACAGCTAAAATTTGTCCGCAAACAAATATGTTACTAGCGACATTTTAGTAAGGTGTGCATTCAAAATTAATATTGTGTGAACATTTTCGATATGGCCTATTACCCTAACTATACTACACTACAATACTAAACTAGGATAAGTCCACATGACTGGAAATCGGTATGGTGAAGGAGTTGAGACGTCACAAAGGACTGTGCCAGTATCAATTTTCAGGGGAACGTCCACGAGCTGCAGTCTACCAATCGACTCGTCGCCAGGACATGCGACTTGTCGTTGCCCAATTTCCATGTTAATAAGGTTGATCCAAAAGAAAGGTGGATGGCTATAGGGAAGGTCTGGACAGCACACCAACCACCCCAACCTTTTTGCCATCAGGGCAGCTCGTGCTTGTGGTGACTTATGAAGTGTGGTCCAAGTTGTAGATTTCCCCAGTATTATATTGTCCTAATGGGATAGAAGTACAGATATCCGCAGCTTGTTGTCCGTGGAGACAGTGGAAACGCGACCTTCCAAAAAGTGGTGAAGACGCCTCACGACCAAGATTTATATTATAGTATGTTTAGGGTAATAGGCAATGCCCATGATAACCCAATTGAAAATGACACAGAAGATTCATGTTCAACACACTCTTGCTAAAATGCTGTCAGTAACATATTCATTTGCAGGAAACTGTTTACATTATTGGATTGCGAAAGTAACGGTAGATGGTCCTTTCCAGGCACACTTGAGATTGTAAGTGCACCAATACAATCAGCACAAAACGTAGTCATTTGTGTAGCTTGTGGGAGAGCATTTAATCAAACGTACAGGAATGCATTACATAGGCAGTGAAATCAGGAAATAAAGTTCATGGCTGGTCGCAGATGGTCCTGCAGCGAGGGTTGTCGTTTATCAAAAACCAAACAACCCAACTGCCTTTTGATTGCAACAATTGTATCAGATGTCGCCCTTTCACTTGGGAGTGAGTTAAACGGTCGAACTACATGCTGACTGAATAAGAACTTCCGATGGTCTAGGCGTGTACGCTCCCGTCTAACCTTGTACTGATGGCTGCGCAGGTGACTCATGGTCGTGATGTCAAGGAAATCTTCAGATTTGAGCGAACGGTCATGCCCGCGGATAATGCAGAATGTACAGGCCAACTCTCATTGGTCTATAGGATAGAGGGAACACATGAAGCTGGATCAGTCTTTCTGGATGCGACAGATAGCGAGTAGTCAGCCATCACAGGTATTGCAGCGTTTCGGCGAGCGAGCCTCGCGGAGAAGACTGGAAGACAGTCCGAATCGGCTAAATGTTGTTGAGGAAATACACCAACAGCTAAGTTTGGAGATTCGGGAACAGGGCGCGTCAGCAAGGCAGGCTTTGTTTCCCTCAAATGCAGTAAGTGCTTCACCACCACGGTCATGAGAACGATTCGGACAGGCAAGCACGTTTGAGAGAGGTCAGGCATGAACGCATCAGCACCAATTTAGGCACTAGTTCAGCTACCAGCGGTCACCAGATGACTAAAATATAGCAACTGGATCACACATTCCACTTTACACTGCCATGGCGGGAGTCCGGGACGGATGTAATGCCGGCACCCTCCCCCCAGCCACCACCTCCAGGCTCCTCCCACGTCATCGGCGTGGCTCCAGCTGTGTAGTCAGGACGCACTGAATGAGCCCCCACTGCAATCCCGACTCGCGCACTTCACTCGCTCTTGACGCTTATACACCCATCCTGTTTGAATGGTCTAGGCCGTCCTCAGAAATGACAATAATCAGCAGTCTTGAAGTTCCTGCCTTTACCAAGTTCTCTGAGACTTCGCCACCCTTGAAATGCTCAAGCCCATTCTGAGGGAACAATGATTCCAGTCGCAACTATAATCGCTAGGTAGTCATAACAAAGACCGCGGGAACCCAGCCCCACTTGGTCCTAGTCTGTTTTGAACCGCGCATCTGAAATCACACAAAAATAAGTAGGTTCGTACGATTTTAACGAGCCATCCTCCTCTTTGTTAGAGACTATGAACAAAAACGAAAAACGAGTAACGGCTGGACGCGGGATTACCTCCTCGTGGTCTGTCCGTGATAAGAAGCTCGGCAGCACATATGCCGAAGTTTAAGTCCACTGCAGATACTAAGGGAATGTCAACACTGACTGGACCGACTCCCCCGAGTGTGAATAATGCTCAGATTCCGCTAGGAAATTTAGTCAGTAGTGACTAGGCCTACTCCTCCCGAGTGAGACAGATGTTCAAATCGCATTAAGGAATTTAGGTTTTTCTTACAACCAGAAACTTCTGCCCACCGCCCTCGACAAGTCCGCCATCCCCCCGGGAATGCCGACGCACAAAGCAAAGCAGGCCGAGACAGACATGCACGGCCCAATTAACTGTCACCAGTTCGCAGCGTCTAAACCCTGTGGGGGGAGGAGAGAACACACGAGGTTTGAACTTAGTTCCAATTAACCTAAATGCATAGTTATAAAGCCAAAGGGATTGTC